TCAGTTTTCATTTCATGTTGACTATTTGAATTTGTGTAATACTTCTTTTTTATTGCATGTGCCAAGGAAATACAAACTTTTCTTTTGTGTCAGCCCATGTGTGTGGCCAGTACTGTACGATTTACACAAGTTATAAAAATAGATACTGAAATTAGCATTGGCATAACTCCATCCATGTCCTCTGCTCTGAACAGATAGACAGTGCGATGAGTCCGTGTTATGTAGACACATTAGTAATCAAATGTGTGTGGGTGCCCTCTGTGATGTCATAGACCCCTCCGGCCGAGAGTGATAAGACAGGGTGTGGCTTCTTCTTCACCCGACACGAGAGACACTGATAACAAGTCTTTCATCTTGTGCCATCTGGGGCCTATATAGGTGGACACAGTAGTCTGAGACAAACTGGTCTGAGTGAAGGTAGGCCTACTATGACCCAATGCTGGGGAAGCTACTTTATTTCGTTTTTTACGGTACTGTCTACAATTTTTGGTCATGGAATTTTTAATCACTATAACTACTCTATAACTTTAATAAACAAGTTGAAAACATACAGTACAGTCAAATAGGTGAACCATTGTTTGAATCATTGATTTACGTGAACCGTCTGAAAGAACCCATTCACTAGAATCAATCTGGATTATCCAATGATACATATGAGAGAGAGAGGACCATTTAGGATGAACCGATTCACTACCAACACTACTGACTTGGAATGACTTGAAATTTACAACACTACACTTGAGAGAGAGGAGCATTTAGTACAAGGCAATTCACTAGAATGAATCCTTATTGATAATGCTAAGAGAGAGAGAAAGCGAGCAAGAAGAGACAACTTAAGATGAGCGAGCTTTACTTCTTCAGCTTAGACATTTAAAACAGCGACATAGCTTTTGGTGGTGCTACAGCACTACTCGTTGAAAGTAGCTCATTAATGGAAAAGTGGAAAGGTCTTAGTTACGTTCACATTTACTGAAAACACATCACTAATTTTAGTTAGTTATTCCCCCACACCAGTATGACCCAGCATGACGCTGTAGAGCAGCACAGCAAAATACAATTCGACAATAATTACAGCACTGTAAAGCAGAACTTTAGTTATGAAGGCCATACCATCATCATAATTCAACATACGCAAAGCTAAGGGCATTTTAATAAACAGCACAGCAAATTACAAAGGAAAATAGCCTATATAGCACATCTCAACGTCACCCGGAGAGTTACTGTAAGGCGCTTTGTTCTTTAGTATTGTTCGGATGCCAGATAAAGCAAAGCGCATCAATAATTTACTCTTTGTGAAAGTATGAGTCTGTTTGTGCATAGAATATTGTGTGTGCTTAAACTGCATGCCTCTCATGTAGGGTTATGAAATGCACACTAGGACTAAGTAAACACTATCCATGTACTCTCTCTCTCTCTCGCTCTCTCTCTCTCTCTCTCTCTCTCTCTCTCTACTAGGCTTACCATAATGCTTCTCATTGATCGCCCTGTAAATGTATTAGCTATTGTGACAGCTTCCTGCCAGGTTCAACAGGAAAGCAGGGGAAACGCACGACTGCTCAGATAAAGGGAGGGCACACAATACCTATTGTGTCCTAATTGTGGGTCCAAACTATTACCCGAATGGGATGTTTTTCAGGTATGCGTTCATGTTTGTGTCTGTGTCTGTGTACGTGTGTCCATGTTTTCTCAGTGTGGTTATGCATGTACCTCCTCATTCAAGCTGAAGAATGAAGACTGTCGCTAAAAAGGCTTACAAATTCCAACCGCAAGGTCAGTAAAACAAGAAAGCGTGGATGAGAAGAACAAAACAGGCCAGAGGAACTGGATTCTAAAGGCAAACAAACAAGCGACAATGGCTTTAAATGAATTACCTTGACCTTCTGCGGTCAATAGCACTTTGAGTTTAAGTTCAGTGTTATGAGGAAAGTATTTGAAAGGGTGTGCACTGACTAGTGGTTGCATGAATGGAAAACAATATTATCTGTCCTGTCAATACTGCCAAACAGTACAGTCACAAGAATATCTTAACACCTATTAAGCTCACGACTAAATTTAAACCCTGGGACTGAGCTTCGAGTAGAGTTTGTCCCAGGTCTATTTGTATAAGTGATGACAAAATGACTGCCTATCTGAAGCAAGTGTCTCAGTTTATGTTTGGAGGTCTGTGTTCCAGTATCTGCATTATTTTTTTATATATTTTATTGTTTATGTGATATGTGTCAGAGGGTTTGGGGCTTGTTTGTATTTTGAGTTTATGTGTAATGACACTGTTTAGCTGGATGATTGACAGCCCCCTGTTTCAAAACAGACAGCATGTCTTACAGGCATCGAATACACAGATGCACACACTGAGACATAAATAGGATTGACCGATTTATTTCCTAACCCTGACCTTAAGGGACGGCGAATGCTAATGCTCATGTAACCTGTACGCATCTTATCAAATATCAGCAACAGCTATTCAGCCCTACTAAAGCAATAATCAATAATTGATCATTCCGGACTGTACTAATATAAGAAGACATGATAAGCCTTGTACAGGTAGTTCATAATACTGCTTAACATACACTACAGGACTTTGCTAATACCTGCAATAGATTTTTAATTACCTTCATCAGGAGTGCTAATGAGCCTTAGGATCTCTTAGGACCACCAAGGCAATTACCACAGGTTCAACAGTAATGGCAAATCATACACTTTGGTGTCTCTTGGAACAAATACAATGTTTTTTTTTTTTGTTTTTTTTTTACATGACACCAGTTAAATATATTTGATAAACTATTTTTTAACATTACATTCCCCTCGCATAAAAAAAGCTAGTTTTAAACAGATCAAATTGGAGATTTTGGCTTGTCCCACCTCAGAGGTCGTGACCTTCTCTTGGTTTTCAATTCATTGTAGTAAAATTTTGAATTTTGAACAGGTTTACAAAATTGAAAAGCAATAGAAAATGAATAGAAAACAGCTCATATATCTGAGGTGCCTTATCCAACATTGAAAATAGAAATAACCATATTTAGAAATTCTAACTACCACATTTGACACTTCCTCCTGTTATAGAGGATTCAGGATATGGCTCAGTAATACTGCATATGTTCAGGTTAAGAATGTTTTGCAGTGGTTTAAACATAAGTATATTCTGCCACCTACTGTTGCTTAGGGGTATGATAGAATTTCACAGCAAAAGTTTTGGCAGTGACATACATTTTGTGTTTCGCAAAGTTTGCTGCTTCAGTATTTGTAGATTATTTTTCCACATGTTTCTATGGTATACTGAAAAATAATGATAAGCATATCATAAGTTTCAATGGCTTTTATTGGCAAAAATATAATGAGTCAATATTTACAGTGTTGACCCTTGTTCTTCATAACCTCTGCAATTCGCTCTGGCATGCTGGATATTAGCTTCAGGGCCAAATCCTGACTGATAGCGATCCATTCTTGCCTTATTAGTTCTCGGAGT